AGCAAGGTCAAGTTCCCGGTAAGGGCTCTTTGCCTGGCTTATGAAGTATGGCTGCCTTCTTGCTGTGCCCTCAAATGTGTGTAGATGGAGACTCACTTATATTTAATTTTTCATGTTTTTAAGATAGGACCTCATGCTTTTCAGGGTGGCCTCAGACTTGCCCTGAAGCTGCAGATGACTCTGAATATTTGTTCCTCCTGCCCCACCTGGGATGAGAATTATGTGTCACCATGCCCAGTGTCACTGTGCCCAGGTTTTTTTTTTTGTTTGTTTGTTTTAATGTACGTTCTGGGGATTGAACTCTGGTCCCTGTACTTGTAAGATAAGCATTTACCCGGGGCTGAGCTATCTCTTCAGCCCCCTGTGTTTATTCCTTCCTTAATCCTCATTCCATTGTACAGGCATCACCCTCCTGGCCCAATTACTTCTAAAAGCTCTATGGTTCCATGTCTCCAGATACCATCAATCTTGGGGGTCAGGACATTAGTTTTTTTCTTTTTTCTTTTCTTTTTTTTTTTTTTTTTATGTGCATGTAGGGTGACACAATTCAGTCTAACTTTGTAATTAGCTTTCCTTTCAAGGGCCACTCTAAGAACAGTAAAAATGGTTGTCAAAAACTGCCTGTGGCTTGCGAGGGCTTATTGCAGGCTGATGGAGAATAGAGCTCTCCATGCTGCCACAGTTACCCATGCAGAGGGCGGGGCATTCGTGCTCTGGAGATGAGTTTAATGTGTGTTTGTGGGTGGCCGGGGAAGGTGGGCAGCTGGGTGAGACTTCAGGGAGGCGGGGTGCCAGGCAGAGGCTCTGCAGAGGGTGGAGGTGGGAGGGAAGGAGGGATCAGAAGTGTCACTGGCTGGGGCCCGATGTAGCTCGGCTTATCTCTGTTTACAGGAGCAAACAGTAGGCCAAGGTCCTGTCGTAACAGCAGGAGGGGACTTGCGGCTGCAGAACTCTGGAAAGTGACACAACTCAGTGCCAGATGGAGTGAGGGCAGAGAAAGGGCCTTGGGCCAGTGGCTACGTGGGTGGGGAGCAGTGACCCCTCTTTGCTCCCCCTCCCCGAAGAATGAAAGTTGGGGAGGGAAGAGGCTCTTGGCAGAAGACGAGGAATTCGCTTTTGAACACTCCCTCTCCCCCTACTGGAGACAGAGACCGGTAATATAGCCCAGGGTGGCTTTGAACCTGTAATCTTTTTGCTTCCATTTCAGAGGTACTGGGATTGTAGGCATGTTCCATTATGCCTGGATGGGCATGTATTTGAAGAATGACGTGACACATGTCCTTAGTTATGAGCACAGAACCAGTGGGACAATAAGGACAAGTGTCTGGTTGAAGGGTTGGATCGGAGCATTATCTAAAGTTGAGCCAGTGAACAGGTTCTCTTGAATAGGAGGTTGGATGAGGAGCAGAGGGCCCTTCAGGCCCTGGAATCCATCTCTCCACAGACATGCTCAAGAAAGGTTCCTGAAAATGTCTTTAGAGGAGCATCCAGTTCTCTGGGGCTAGACTGGACCCCTCTGTCCATTTGTGACCATAAAGGGACCTCCCGCCCCTTACAAAGCCCGCTAGAGCCAGGCAGCTGGTGTTCCAAACTAGAAGGCTTTTCAGGGCCCAGTGACTTCTTGCCTTTCTGTTTCTGATTGCAGCCTTTAGTGGCCTGAGGTCAGTTTTTGATGAGGACATCACTCTAACCTGCCTGGTGCCAGCCTCCTCCAGCCTAAGACATCAATCATGCCTTGGTAATCTAGCCCCCATGGTCTGGTACAGGCAGGTGATGGCTGAGCTTGGTCCATGCCTGTTCCAGCCTGGGGCACACGCTGGTCACAACTCCACAAAATGAGTCATTTGCTGCCAGCCTGTCCTTGCTCCTTCTGCCCTGTGTGGCTTTAATGCAAATGTCACCCATGGGATCCTTTCCCCATGGGACTTTATTTATTTATTTATTCTTTAAAGGCCATGTTGGAAAGGACATTTGTCCTCTCTTCTGTTTAAATTGCTTTCCACGGGTTTGGGAGACCTGGCCATTGATTTTTCTCTTAGAGTGTACAGAAAGCCCTGTGAAGCTTTTGGCTAATTAACTTTTGGAGAAGTGCTGCTTAAATGTATCTGGGAGGTTGAAGTCTTTTTTTTTTTTTTTTTTCTCCCTCCTCTCATAACTTCAAAAATGGCTTTTAACTTTTGTTTTCAAATCACTGCCGGCACCCAGTCTGCTTAAAAGTGACTTCCCTGGGAATAGATGATGGTCGAGTGGCTGTGTGATGTCCCTTTGTAAGGCTACAGTCACCGTGGGTTTAGAGGCACTTGCTGTGGAAGCCCAGCGAGTTCAATCCCCAGAACCGGTGGAAAGGTAGAAGGCGAGGACCCTGATGCCACCCAGTATTTGATATTTATGAGAAGTTTTGTTCACACAAAGATTACACGTTTGAAAAGAGGTCTTTCCCCCAGCATGCCCGTCAGAGCTGACACTGCGAGGTTCAGAGTGGAAAGGATTTCAGAGCAACTCCCATTTTCGCTGTGTCGTCACTGCTTTGTTTGGCTGTCGTCTCCGTTTGGCGTGGGGCAGAGGCGGTGGCCGGCTTCGCTGTTTGTGCTTAGTTAGTTCATGTTCTTGTTCCTCTTACGTGGGCCAAAGCTCTTGGAAGTGAGGGACGTGTCAAGGAAGTTCACCTTCAGATCTTACTGTGGATTTCTTTGGTACTGGCTTCCGGAAGTCTGCGTGGTAGAAGGAAAAGCCTGTTTCCTCCAGGAGATGACTTTTACCACACTCTCCCCTCTCCTACTTTTTAAGGCTCCATTTTATGCTCCCCACCCCCAAACCAGGTTGAATTAGTGAATATCTTAAAAAAAAAAAAAAAAGAAAAGAAAAGAAGACCATGGGATGATCTTCTGTGCCTGGATCGTGCACTCCTGTAATCTCGGCCCTTGTGAGGCTGAGGCAGGAACATGGGTTACACAGTAAGAGCCTGCCTAAAACAAAACAACAGACCATAGGATGTCTCTCCGCCTTGTATTCCAATCAGTTCCCACCAATAAGGCGTGAGACCCTGGCCAGGCTGGGTTATCTTGATGGGTTGAACTGCCTGTAAAAGGTTCCAGTCCTCAGAGACACACTGCCTTAGCAGGGGGAGCCATTGTGACACAGGCAAACCCTTTCTGGAAAATGTTCTTCAGTTTTGATCAATCTCATGGCCCTTGTTAGTATCTTTGATTACATCGGATTATGTGCCATTCCGCTTTATGGCATTTTAATGGGCTTTTAGCGGCCCCCCTCCCCACTTCATTTCCAGCTGTGTGGTTATTGGGATTTGATGGTAGTTTGGTAACTGCCGGGAGCACTCCAGTGCACGCCAGCCCCTCTGTGAGGATCTTCAGAGGTGAAGAACAGAGCGAGGGGAGTGTGGTTAGTTTCCCAGAGGCTTGCTAACAATTAAGTTACAAATGAAACCTCAGAGCCAACCATGGCTGTATTCTCCAATTGTAAGATGTTTGCTTTAAATCCTTTGGTGGGGGCGGGTGAGGAGACTCAGTGGGTAAAGATGCTTGTTGAGCAAGCCTGAGTCCTCAGCTCCATCCCTGATGGAAGGACAGTATTGTTTCTGAAAAGCTGTCTGTTGACCTACACAAAGGGCCTCGTACCTATACTCACACACTAGTGATGATAATGACGACGACGACTATGATGATAAATAGAATAAAGTTGAAAGAACCTTTAGTAGAATTGAACCCATTGACTGAAAAAAAAAAAAAAAGAAAAGAACAGAAAAAGTCTGCCTAAAACTTGCCTTTCTAACAAGCAGTGGGGAAATGTGCTGTGATTAGAACCTGTGCATTGCTGGTGGGATTGTGAAATGGCCCAGGCACTGCGGAAAACAAAAACAAAAACAAAAACAAAAAACAGTCAGGTAGGTTTAAGAAAGCAAAGCAAAGCAGAATTTCCATATGGCCCATCAGATCCACTCTTGAGCGTGAACTCAAAATAATTGAAAGTAGAGGCTTGATATTTGTAGCCCTTGTTGTGATGTGTTTCTACAGAGTATAGCTATATTCTTAGTGATTAAAGCGTGCAAGCAATCCAGGTACCCACTGATGGACCGGTAAGCTGACTAGCGACACAGTCTAAAACAGATGGACGTTCTGACGTATATCGCAGCATGGGCGGTTCTAGAACGCTGTAATATGCTAAGTGAAGTATGCTGGCCTCAGAAGATCCAAATCGGACGAAGGACTTGGACACTCAGAATGATAGAGACAGACTGAATGGTGGTTAGCAGGACTGGGGGAAGGAGGAAGAGACGTTTATCGTTTAATGCTTGTGTAGCTCCGGCTCTCGGGAATAAAGAGTTCTGGAGACGGATGGCGGTGGCGGTTGCACAACATAAACGCCCTTGATACCTGTAGTGGTTCTGTGTTTGAATGCTTGGTTCCCAGGTGGTGGTGCTATTTTGTACAACCTTTGGGGGAGGGGCCTGGGCAGAGGAAACGGATCTCTCTGTTGGCGCAGACATTTATAATACTGCTGCAAACGACTTACTTAGCTCTCGAGTTTGCCTTTCCAATCTCCGGGTTGTACTAGATACTTCCCTGTTCTAAAGAGGATATGGGTGTGTTTCGGCAGCTTCTAAGAACAGTGTGTAGGGGATGCTGAAAGAGGATGCCCTGGCAGCCGGTTGTTCTGAGTCCCAAGCGGAACATTGCTACAGAATGTGCCAGGGACCCCATCTCAGCATCCTCAGATAGGGCTGGCCACCTTGACTGATGGTTTGTTTTTTGGGTCCCATTTTAAAGGCGTTTCTAAGTCAACTGGTAGATTTGGGACAGGAAGTGGAATCTTGTAGAGACTTTTGGACTATCTATAGTTTGTCCCTTAACAGGGCAGTTGGCAGTCTGGCTTGGTTGCCATAAATTCAGCTTCTTTCTGGGGAGAGGATAGGGGACCCCTCTCTCCCCGGTTGTGTGTCTTCTTCCCCTGGTCTCACTCTGTTGCCCTCTTGCCTCCTGTAGGCTTGGGGACCAGTTCTACAAGGAAGCCATTGAGCACTGCCGAAGCTACAACTCGAGGCTGTGTGCGGAGCGGAGCGTGCGCCTCCCTTTCCTGGACTCGCAAACAGGAGTGGCTCAGAACAACTGTTACATCTGGATGGAAAAGAGGCACCGAGGCCCAGGTGAGCCACGCCACTCCTGGGACCAGCATGCACAGGGGCTCCAGCTTGGAGGAAGGAGTGCTACTGTGTCTGGGAGGCTACCGAGCCGGGCAGGGTGGGGTAGATGAGCCGAACACATGGTGGAGGGATTTAGCTGTGTGTACCCTTTCTCCAAGGGACCAGACAAGGATGATGTGAGGTACTTATCTCAAGGAAGTCCAGGGAAAGCAGTTTTCATTGTTTTACCCTTGGGTGTTGGCTCAAATTCGCCAATGTGTTTAGTTGTGGGTGAGAGGCTTGGTTTTGTCATCAGATCTCTGTCCCCGAGGCTCGTCATCTGTGAAGTGTGGATAATCTTCGTATTTACTACACAAAGTTTATCAGGATTAAATGAAAACATCTATGAGCAACTCAGCATAGCATATGCTCTAAAATGCTGGATATTGTTGTCATGACCATGATTCTAATCTTCTAGGCTTTTAGGAATAGAATTAAAAAAAAAAAAAAAAACCTGTTGGAATAGATTAGCGAGACAGCTAGCTCCAGGGATGCAATTTCGTGGCCATATTTATTTATGTTAAAGTTTGTGTGTGTGTGTGTGTGTGTGTGTGTGTGTGTGTGTGTGTGGTACATGTGTGCATGCAAGTATCATCTTTAATTAGTTGCTCTTCATCTTGTCTTTTGAGACAGGGTCTCACTTTCACCTGAAGCTTGTTGATTCAGCTTGGCTGGGCAGCCAGTTAGCCTCAGGGATCTGCCTCTTTTTCCCCTCCCAGCACTGGCATTAAAAGTATGTGCATTTACATGGGTTCTGGGCATTGGGCCTAGGTCCTGTGCTTTCACGGTAAGCACATTACTGACCCGGCCATCTTTGTAGGCTTCTCCTGTGTCCCCTCACCCTCCCCTTTTGGTAAGGTTTCATACAGCCCAGGCTGATCTTAGACTTGCTGTGGAGCCAACAATGACCTTGAACTCCTCCTGATCCTCTTGCCTCTACCTCTGAGGTGCCAGGATTGTAGGCATAGGCCACCACACCTGGCTCTATATGAGTATGTTAAACAAGCTTCGGTTTCATTTCGAAAAGTTTTATATTCCTGTAAAATTCAGACACTGGCAGAGAAAAACAGACTCCTCATGGCCACGCTCCGTGACAGCCAGCTCGTGGCCCTTTGCTTTCGCTCACGCTTAGCTGTCACCTTCCTCCCGGACTCTGGATGACTTTGAAGTAGACCCTGGGACAGCACGTCATTCCGTGTACAAATACTCTGGACTTAAAGTGTCAAACCAGTTGGGTGCAGCGGGACATGCCCATCGGGGCAGTATTTAGGAAGCTGCGACAAGAGGCTAGCCTGCGATACACAGGAAGACAAAAGGAAAAGGCCAGCCCAGCCCACGGTCACTATCAAACAGTCAGCATTCGTTTCTTCTCTACCTCTAGCGTAAGCCAATAGGATTCCTGCATTGCAACTGTTGATATCTTAGAGGTCCTCGGGCTTTTCTCTGACTCCCTTTCTTTCTCCCTTGTATGTTGAAGAAACTGGGCTGTTTGCACGGCAGGGTTTCCCAGAGCTCAGATTTGCTGATTGCATCCCCATGGTGTTATTGCTGTGGATTGGAAACGAGGACTAGAGACTTACTCAGGCTTTCTTTCTGTCTCTGTGTATCTCTCTCTGTGTATCTGTCTCTCTGTCTCTGTCTGTCTGTCTCTCAAGAGCAATTCCTAAGTGGTAGTTTGTGCTTTCAGTCAGGAGGTTTATGCAGTCTGGTTTTCCACACTTTACTCATTTTAGCAGCCCTTGATGAGGGTTATCTAGATTCTTATTCCATTAAGAGTGGCACACACACACACACAAAAGGGGTGTTTGATTGAAGGCCATTGTTTTGTTTTGTTTTTCCCCTCCCCCATTTATTAGCCCTACAGATTCTGTAAAGGAAAACATCCCCTCATTAAAACTTTGGTTATTATGAGGTACAGCTGGCATGAGATAAATGACATTTCCCCTGTATTTACCAGGTTTCAGAATAATGAGCTGGTTCCTCGGCATTGTCCAAAGTTGATCAATACAGTTATTTTAAGTACTATCATGAACTCGGACTTAAACCCGCTTGATGCACTTTAATGCATTGCCGCCGTTATTTGGACTGAAGATGGATTGTCCCATCTTCATCCAGAAGGGCTTTGGAAACAGCCTCAGTTCCTTCTGACGGCTTTCTTGCCCTCCTAATATCGGGACAGATGGATGCCAACTCCCCCTGGGCACTTCCTGCCCTGTCTAGAGGCTACCATCCATGCTGCTCACTGCTACTTGGCTTATCATTATTTCCCGGGCTTTTAAGTCAGCATAGCTACGAAGTGTATTTTTAAGTGAAATAAGCTGTGGAATGATACTACTTCCTGGCTGATTCAGTTTTAAATAGTTTGTGTTTACCTATATTTATTCTCTATCCCTTTTCTCAGACACTCAACACACACACATACATACACATACACACATACGTGTCATATGCATACATTTGTAACATATGTATGTGCATGTGTATACATGCAGACACACATGTGTGTATATCCCAGAACCTGGATTTAATGATACTGACACACCTGCTTTACCCCACACAGCGCTTACAGTAGACTCATGAGTATGGCAGGAACAGCAGGACGGTCCATAATAAGATTGCTTGCCTGGGTTTAAAATTTTTTTTCTTTTGCATTTAGTGTTTCTTGTCCTTTTAGGCTGTAGTGTCAAGCCGCTGTGCCTTAAAGTCACTTCAAATAGTCTTCTGTGTTGGTTATGACAGTAAGTCATCTACACGGTTGGATTTATAGGTTTCATTTTGGTTTTACTTATTAAGGATTGCTCAGTGTAGAGGTTTCATAGACTTTCTTTTCTTAAAATTAGCTCCTCATTTTGAGTCACTTCATGCCTCCTGGGAATTGCAACACAGCGCAGAGAGTGCCTCTTTGCTTTTCATCCACTTTCCCTAAGATCATCCCGGAATATCACACCAGAAGTTGATAATGGTCAAATATGTGTGAAGGGCTCTTACCATTTTTAATTTCTTTTTCGTTATTTAAAACAATTTTTAAAATTCAAATATATCTTGATCATATTCTTCCCTTCCCCAAAGTCCTTCCAGATCCTCTCCCCTTCCCTACCCACCCAACTCTGTAAGTTCTTTCTCAAAGAACAGACAAAACCCCAATCCAAGAGCAAATCCTCTAAACCGAGAAAATAAGATAAACCGCCAATGCAAAAAGAAATTTAAAAAGCACCAAACTGTAACCAAATAAAAACACACACATACAACAGAAGACAACAAAGCAAACTGTGGAGTCCATTATATATTGGTCAACTACTCAACATGAGACCCTCCCTGGAGTGGTTCATACACACATTGCCACTGCATTGGAGAAAACTGACTTTCTCTCTCCCATCAGGTAGAAGTGACAATTCAGTTGTCAGCCTTTACCCTAGCGGCTAGCTTTTCATCCATCCATCCATCCATCCATCCATCCATCCATCCATCCACCCATCCATCCATAAAAATATAACAAAACAAAATAACAAGATAAAACAAAAATTGTCACACTGAAGTTGGACAGTACAACCAACAGAAGGAAAAGAGCCCAAGAGAAGGCACTCATTCTTCACAGACTCAGGAATCCCATGCAAACACTAGAAGCCATGCTCTAAGCGTGGAGGACCTGGTGCAGACCTGTGCAGGTCCTGTGCATGCTGCTTTAGTCTCTATGAGTTCATAGGAGCTTTGCTCATTGATTTAGAGGGCCTTAGTTTATCTGTGCCCTTTATCACCTCTGGCTCCTACACTTCTCCTACTCTTCCACAGGGTTCTCTAGAGATCTTGCCATTTAATCACATGTGATGAACACCACAGTCAAGACAGGAAACGATTTTCTCACCACAAAGATCTCTTTCACATAACCCCTTTATAGCCACACCTAACGTTTCCTCCCCTCAAATCCTCTCATCACCTCCATTCATAAACTAGCTGTCCTACTGACCAGCTAACTCAGCTGCTTAAGTTGCTTAAGATGGTCCTAATAAAATAGCTATCTTAAACATTTCCTCTCTATTGAAGAGCACATCAGATCATCACACACAGTTTAGGGTACTTGAAGAATGCTTACTGCATTTACCTAAAGATCCGTGATAATTCTTAGATTTCCTTCAGCAAAGAACATGTTGGTTTTTTTTTTTCCTTCATTCCCAAAGAATGCTTTTGCTATATATAAAACTACAAGTTGATAACCCTTTTTAAACAGCATTTGAAAGATTTGCCATGTCTTTAGATGGTTTGTGCTGAGAAAATCTGCTGTCAGTCACACGGAATTTCCCTTGTAGGAGAAGAGTCATCTTTCACTGCTGTCAAGTTTTTTTTCTTTGCTTTTAGTTTTCAAAAGTTTAATTTTGATGCGTCTTGAAATAGATTTGTTCAGATTTATTTTATTTGTGGCTTGCTTGGCTTTTTGGACCTGTAGTGTTTTTTTTTTTTTTTTTTTTTCCAAATTTGAGAAATTTTTGGCAGTTGTTCTCAATCCTGGTACTTCCCTTTTGAGATCCCAATGGCACAGCCACTAGACCTTCTTTTATAGCTCCCTAGCTGTCACCTTTGCTCCCTAGGCTCTATTTGTGTGTGTGTAAAAATGTAAGCCTTTATTGTTATGTGTCTGGGTGTCCTGCCTGCATGAGTGTAAGTACACCGTGTGTGTGTGTGTGTGTGTGTGTGTGTGTGTGTGTGTGATACCACAAATGCCGGAAGAGGGCTTTGAATTCCCCCAGGACTGGAGACAGTTGTGAGCTGCCATGTGGCTGCTGGGAATCAAATCTGGGTCTTCTAGGAGAGCCATCAGTGTTCTTAACCTCCAACCCGTCTCTCCAGCCTCCCAGACTCTATTCATTTTTGTGTCTCAGTTTTTCAGATTGACCAGTTTCTAGAGTTTTGTCCTTTGTATTCCGCTGATAAGGTTCATCCATGGAGATTTTTTTGTTGTTGTTGTTTAT